CCTGCCCCCCTGCTGCCTCCCCGAGAAAGGGACTCAAGGTTAGCCTGCTCCAGATTCTGTCCTGGAGCCGAAACTACCCTGCGATGGAGGGAGACTATCAAAGCAAAGGACGAATAATGGCTGGATAGATAAGTTACTGCACCTGCCAAGGCTGCAAGAATGGTCTCGCTTTCAAAGAACGGGTGTGAAAAGGGAAATGAAAACGGTCTCATGATTCACAATGTCTTAAATATCAAAACAAACCGCGGCTTACTGGGGGAAGGCAGCTCTTCCTGATTCGGAGGTCCACGAGAAGTTTCTCCTGGTGATCCACAGCAGGGGTCTCTGGGCGCTTCTGTGGCCTGGCAATATCTGCAGCATCTGCTCAAGAAGCCCATATTCCGCAGGGTTTTTGCTGCTCAGAAGTTGGAAAGCCGGGAGAATGATGGGATTTCTAGGGAATGCCAGTTACAGGATGTCTTTTCTAGGATCCAGACAACGTAGAGGCCAGAAAGGCATGATCTGAGTGTGGCAAAGCAACGGCAGCCGAAGGACAGATGGGTTGGGTGGGAGCAAAGGAGAAAGGGGAGCTGGGGAGTGTAGGGGGGCAGGCTGAGCCTTCAGGGGGTCCTCTCGTTGTGCCGTGTGTGCTGAGCTGGTGAGACCCCCCCACCCCCAGTTTCAGGAGGTGAAAATCTTCAAGTCAGAATGAGGGTGTTTCCTAGAATCAATTAGGTCTATCATTCTTGGAAGTTAGATAACTCTTCACAGAGAGGTTCAACGCAGAGAAACAAAGCCACAGAATTCTGAGGAACAAGTAGCTTTGCAAGATCTAAAAGCGGATTCTGGCAAAACATCTCTCCCTCTGCCAAACCAGTCTCTCCAGGCAGGTCTGTTTCCAAGAAGGAAGTGGGGATGGGGAAGACAGAGAAGCCACCTTTCTAGAAGCACCAATCTGCTGGGGGCAGGGACTGCCATCACCCATGCACTGTCCTCTCAACAGGTGGATGGGGTCTTCCTGAGCCCAGGAGGAAGGCTGGCTGGTTGGGGAGAGAAGAGAAATCAGTGGGGAGGAGAGGCAGGAGCAGTCGGAGGGAAGGGGATAGAGGGAAGAGCTGAAACTCGGAAAATTCAAAGGCTTTGAACAAATATAAGACATAATGACATCCCCACCTTAATTTTTCCACTGAAGCCAACACCTGAAAGCAGAAGCAACTGAGACCATAGAACTTCATATTAATCTCAGGTGTATATGTCTACGTATATATTGCAAAATCGTCACTCTAGTAAGTTACCATCCGTTCCCACGCATAGTTACAATTCTTTCCTTGCACTTTGGTCTCTCTTAGCAACTTTCAAACAGGCGATACAGTTTCATTAACTCCAGTTCCCGTGCTGCACCTGGGATCCCCAGGACTTACTCATCGTATAACCGGAAGTCTGTACCTTTCGACCACCCACACTCATTTCACGCGCCCACCCCACCCCACCTGCCTCTGGCAACCACCCATCTGTTCTCGGTCTCTGTGAGTTCTTCTCTTTTTTCCTAAAAATTCCACAGTTTGGCTCTTGTGGACATTGCTGCTGTGAACATTGGGGTGCAGGTGCCCCTTCTTTTCACTACATCTGTATCTTTGGGGTAAATACCCAGTAGTGAAATTGCTGGGTCATAGGGCAGCTTAATTTTCAATGTCTTGAGGAACCTCCATACTGTTCTCCAAAGTGGCTGCACCGGCTTGCCTTCCACCAACAGTGTAGGAGGGTTCCCCTTTCTCCACATCCTTGCCGACACTTGTTTCCTGTCTTGTTAATTTTGGACAGTCTGACTGGTGAGAGGTGGTATCTCCCTGTGGTTCTGATTTGTATTTCCCTGATGCCGAGTGATGTTGAACATTTTTTCACGTGTCTGTGTGGTGATTGAGCACTGGCTGTCACACACAACTGATGAATCATTGGACACTACATCAAAATCTAATGATGTACGCTGTGTTGGCTAATTGAACATTAAAAAAAAAAGATTCCACATATCAAGGAGATCATACAGTATTTGTCTCTTCCTGCCTAATTTACTCCACTTTGCACCGCGCTCTCGAGGTCCATTCGTACTGGCACAAATGGCAGCATTTTTTATGGCTGAATTAGGTTCCATTGCATATATAGAATCTCCTTTTCTTCATCCATCCATCCATCCATGGACTCTCAGGTTGCGTCCATATCTTGGTCCTTGTGAATTAAGGCTGCAGCGAACTTAGGGACGTGACTACCTTTTCAAGTTCAGTGTTTGCTGGGTCATATGGTAGCTCTATTTTTATTTTTTTCCTAAAGATGTTATTTATTTATTTGAGAGAGAGAGAATGAGAGAGAGAGAGAGAGAGTGTGTGTGAGGGGGAGAGGTCAAAGGGAGAAGCAGACTCCCCAAGGAGCAGGGATCCCGACGCGGTACTCGATCCCAGGACTCCAGGATCACGACTGGAACTGAAGGCAGTCACCCAATCAGCTAAGCCACCCAGGTGCCCCTGGTACCTCTATTTTTAATTCTGTGAGGGTCCTCCATACCGTTTCCCACAGTGGGTGCACGGATTTGGACAACTTTTTTAAAAGACTGCAGATTTCCCAGTGGCATTCCAGTAAGAGCCTGAGTCACCACGTGTGGGGTGGGGTCCAGGAATCTGGATTTAAAGCTTCCCAGCAGATTCACAGCCCAGCGAGGATGGAGAATGGCTGGTAGGTGTCTCCATCTCCTTCCCACCACTTGACCTCAAGGCCTCAAATGCTCCCCTCCTGTTCTGCTCTTGGGTTACAATAGAACCTTTTGACATACCAGCTGTGTGCTTAGCAAAGAGCTTTTAACTCAATTTTAATGAATCATAACAGGTTTTTCTGGGGGCAGGGTGCTCTCCCAAACACAGGTCAACTTTGCCCTAACATGGCCACAGATTGAACCCAGCTCCACGGCCAGCTCCTACCACACCCTCCATCTCTGGAATGTCTCCTTTCTAAGAGAGCTTGAGAAAGAATGTGGGTGACTCGGTGTCATTGTGCTGGTGGCCTGTCCAGAGATAGGGCAGGAGGGTATTATGTCATCACATAAGACTGGCCATCTGGGGGGTACGTCCCATGTGCCTTCCTGAGTCCTCACCATCAACCCATGAGATAAACCCTTCTATTATGCCCATTTTACAGAGGTGCAAAGTGAGGCCAGACTATACAACTTCCTTGTGGAAATAAGCAAAGACTACCCAGATGAAGACAAAGACATTCTCCACTCAGAGCTTGGTACAGCAAGAGAGGCAGCCACTCTCGCTTGTGTTTGGCAGAGACTCCCAGACAGACCAGGGACTGGGAGGAGCCCCAGAGTGGCCAAAAGGGAAGGCTCAGGTATGCTCTCATTGGAGGGGTTGGCATGGAGAAAGAAGCATCTTGGTGTGTTTGATTTGGGAATAGAGCTGGCTCTCTCTGGTTGGTCCTGAGTTGGAAAAAGCAGGGGAAAACCAGGAAGCTGGCCATCTCCAGCCAAGTTGTGATGTTCTGGGCTGGTGGTTACCAGGACCTTGGGTCAGAGTTCTGTTGTCATCTGGTCTGTCTACGGTCTGGCCATTGTCCGTTTGCAACTTGGCCTCTCATCCCTGAAGGCTCCAGCTCTCGTCCATCCCTACAGATACGCTCTTCTCACTAGAGGGGAATCTCGGTCACTATCCAGATGGCAACTCTGTGCTAAGGACTGCTGCACACCCCCCTCGACACACACCAGAACGTCCCCTCCTTTGAACTGCTAGCCCTACTCTTAGTTCTGCTTCAAAGTGGAGTTACAAGAACCTTGAGATCAGCCGCACACTGAATGTCTCTGGCCACGCCTTCTGTGGGCTCTGCAGACTCCGTGTCTGAAGGCTCATTTGGAGCAGAGGAAGGCTGCTCTGCTTCCCATTTCCCCTGCAGAACCTGCATTGCCCCCCCCCCCCCGCCAAGCTAGCAGTGACCAACAGAGCGAGCGGGGCTGTGATGCTGAGGAGGTGGGTCTCACACCACTTTCCAGAAACTTCAGCTCAAATTGCTCTCTGCCTGGTGAAGCTCCCTTACAGGCTACTTTCCTTTGCCTTGTATCACCTCCCCACCTTCCTGAGGTTACTCCCTGTCCCTCCAGTGCATAATCTTGGCTCTCGAATCTTCCTTTTGCGGTCTGCTTCTAGGGAAAACTCCCATGTGAAAACGGCTTATTGTCCCCATTTTACAGATGAGAGAAACTGAGTCTCAGAGAACTTAAGTGGCATATGTCAAGGTCATGCAGCTTATGAGCTAGGATTGGTATTAAGTCCACACTGCTCTTGATTTGTGAGTGTGTGTGTGTGTGTGTGTGTGTGTGTGATTTTCTCCTAATTCTCTGAAGCCAAAGACCATCTTTTGCATTTCATAGCCTTGTGCAATAATGTGCTTGTTTGAAAAGTTTCTAAAAATTTAATTGAACCCAGCTGTGCATGAATGGTTTACAAAGTTCACAGCAGGACTCCCAAGGGCAGGCCAAGATCACTCCCAGGATGTCCTGGGGTCGGGCTGCCTTTATCTCCTCTGATGGGCAACTCAGGATGCTCTCTGGGACACCCACTCCATTGTTCATACCCCAACCCTGTCCCTCCAGGAAGAGAACAGTCAAGACACAATCACCTTCAAGGGGAAATCACATTTTACTTGGATCGTTATTTGAGAGGAGCAAGTGTTTCCACGCCCTTGACCTCTACATCACATGCTATCTCATATACAGGGGGAAAAAATTTCTTTAAAGCCCTGGAATCTTCTCCCTCTAAGCTCCCCCTCCACCTTCCCATCCCCCAAATGTAGGGAAGGACCACCTTTAAAGGCACACCGGGTCTTTGTCCCCAAAGGAGCATGGAACAGGTCATGCCACAAAGGGGACTGCCTCTTCCAGACCCTCCTTCTTCCCCAAGGATTTAAACTACCCAGGCTGGCCCCTCAGCTTGGTCCTCTAGGCCTGCTTTATTACAGAAAGACAATGAGTCCCTAAAAACGTCATTCCGTTTAGCCCACGAGACGTGTGCAAGGAAGGCTGGGGTCTGGCAGGTCCTGTGGCAAAGGAGCCACATTTTTCTCAGATTTTTATTCTTCCGGGATTCTGGAAGTGGGACATTGGCAATGCCACGAGCTTCAGCTGTTGACAGGTCCCCCGTACCCAGACAGACAGATGGTCAGTCCACAGGGTCCCACTGCAGGCCCCGAGGACCCACAGAAGCCAACTGTAGGCTAAGTTTTTAGGTGGCCAGCCGAGTGTGTCTGCAGGTCAGGCCTCAGGCCCCTGGGTTCCGATGGAACCTGGAAGGCAGAGAAGGGCTGGCCCCAGTCCAGGAGAAGGACAACTGGCCACCACCCCCTTCCTTCCAGAATCTTCTCCTACAGCTCGGGGAAGGCAAGGGGCCCAGGACCCTTGGAGCGGTTACTCAGCACCCCCAGGGCAGGCCTCCCCAGCCTTGGATTCTGTCTTATAGGCTGATGTTAGGAAACAGGAACATTTGCTCCCCGCCTCTCATCGTTGGCTCATGGACCCCAGGCGGAGGGCCAGGCGGTGCTAGATGGCGGTGGTGTTGGCTGGCTTCCCCTGCACTGGGGCTTTGGTGGTCATCGCCCGGACCCCACGGGACGCCTTCTTCCGCCTGGCGTCCAGGTTCCTCATGTACATCTGGACCCAGTGCTGCTTGGGGTCGCCACAGAACTTCTGGCCCTTCCTGGTGGTGAAGCTATGGGAAGGGCGACAAGGGCACACGTGAGAGCCGGCAGAGACCTTGGACCACTTCCCCAGATGAGGAGGTGGGCGTGGAGGCCCGCACAGGGGCCAGCTGCTGCCTGGGGGGCGGCGGAGGGGATCCTCCTAGCAGGGTCCCGAAAACACGGCCCTCTCCCTGGGTGTCTGCATCTCTGCGCATGCTCAGCAACCTCCCTGTCTGACAGGGGAGGCCCTACCCTGCCTTCAGAAAATGCTTGGATTTGAAGAGAGAGACACAATCCCTACCCACAGGGAGGAGAGGAGAAGAGAAACTGCATTGAAATCCCCCAGGAAAAAAGGCAGATGCCTCCAGTCCACAAACTTTTTGGGAGAAAGGCGATTCATAAAGATGCCAGAGCAGGGAGGGGGCGGTGGGATGCCCTCTGCCCAGCCATCTCTGAGCTAGCAGGTGTCAGGCTACAGAGCTGGCTCTGGTGCCGGGCGCAAAACTACCCATAATACCAACGTCACATTTCTACAGCAGGCCGCCGTTACACAGTGAGCTCACACTTGCTGCCTTGTGTGGGAGGCAGCTATGAAATTATCCGGACTCCCAGTGACCTTGAGCAGGTCACCTTTCTGGGCCTCAGTTCTCTGTAAAATGGGAATAATCCCATCTAGCTCATAGAACGGTCCAGAGGGTTAGTTAAGGTCAAGTTCTACGTGCCCAAAGCAGGGCCTTGTGTAGACAGTGACCCTAGAGGTTCATGTCCCCTGTCCCTCTCCTGCTGGGCGCTCAGGGAGAGGGGGATACTTACATCACTCCTGCCATAGGGCAGACGCTCGCACTGGACAGCTGGTAGCTAACCACTCGGTTCTCAGGAACTTTCTTGGAAATGAAGGACATGCAGCAGGAAGAGGGGATGGGTGCAGAGCCTAAAAAATGGGAGAGAGGAGAACCGTGTTCCTTCCCAGCCTTCCTGAGACCCTGGGCTTCAGGGATGGAGTACATCCCCTATCCTAATGCCTCCAGCCCAGTCCTGGAGCAGCTGTTCCTCGACATTCCCCTCCAAACCCAGCCTGCTTTGTCCTAGTCCAAGTGCATCCCCCACTTTCTCAGCTACGCTCTCAGCAGACCTGCCTGACAGCGCCGGGCTGAGCTTGGAGGTTTTTGTTTTTGTTTTTGTTTTGACAGAGAAACACAGCAAGAGAGGGAACACAAGCAGGGGGAGTGGGAGAGGGAGAAGCAGGCTTCCCACAGAGTAAGGAGCCCAATACGGGGCTTGATCCCAGGACCCTGGGACCATGACCCGAGCCGAAGGCAGACACCCAAAGACTGAACCACCCAGTTGCCCCTAAGGTTGGAGGTCTTACCTGCAGGGGCAATGCAGTGGGCACACAGGGTCAGGAGCAGGAGGCCAGCCCCCAGGGTCGCAAGGCCTGCCATGAGCCAGAGACGGAGCTCAGGACCTAGAGCTGGGGTGCGGGAGGAGAGGACCAGGACCAGACGACCACCCCAACCTCCCTCTGCCTTTTATAAGGGCCGATGGGAGGAACTGTGCACTCATAGAACCTCCCACCCCACCCCTCCCCCTCCAGGCTGCCTTGAAAGTCCTCAAGGTCCTTGAATTTGGCCAAGGGGAAGTTATTGCCTAGCTGAGTCAGGGGTTATGTGGCTAGTCTTCTAACAAAGGCTGAGGGAGGAGAGGATTGCCCCGCCCAAGTGAAGGGTGGAAGCTTTGGATGCAGAGTCAGGAGGCTGACAAGGATCCCTGGTGTGCCATTCATGTCCTCTGGGATCCTGGGTAAGTCACTCACCTATCTGAACTTTAGTTTCTTTCGCTGAAAGTGGGTGAAGTCACCCTATCTCCTTCCATTCATTCATGCATGGATCCATTCGTCCATCCAACCATCCATTCATTCATTCACCAAGTCTCTTGCCGGGGGCGGGGCAGAGGGAGAGGGAAAAAGAGAGACTCTCAAGCAGACTCCCCTCGGAGCATGAAGCCCGACGGGGGCTCAAACTCACGACCCTGGGATCATGACCTGAGCCGAAACCAAGAGCCAGATGCTCAACTGACTGAGCCACCCAGGCGCATTCAAGGAGTTGACGTTCTCCAACTCTTACTAGGCTATGCGCAACATGCTGGGCTTCCGGTGGGGAGGCAGAAACACGAGCCCGTGTGTGTAATGAACCAACACAGGTGCTGACTGAGCGGGCCTGGAGCAAAAGAGATGCTCTTGTTGTCCATATGCCCTTGGACCCCTTCACCTTGTTCGTGCACACACACTGGCTTTTGGTGACCTTGCATTTCTAGTGCCCAAGCTGCTGGAGCCACCTGGCCGGTAGGCTCTGAGAAAGTGGGAAGTACCTAGAAACCCACATCCTCAGGGCAGACCTCGACGTAGGTCTGCTGGAGGGACACAGACATGCCCTGTGCTGCTTCCTGAGATCCCAGCTGGGTCAAGACGGTTTCCCTCTGTGTGACTGGACTCTGCTGACCCTCTCCCTTTCTGCATCTGTTTCCCCTCTGCCCTGCTGGCTTTCCCTGGAAGCTTTGCCTAATGAACCATTTGCCATGAACCCTCCTTTCAGGGTCAGTTCTGAGGACCCAACCTGAGACAAGGGGTGTAAGTGGAAGGGGGCGCTGCTCTGCTGACCAGCTCTGCTGGAAGGGAAGTGGGGGATGCACTTGGAGCTGTTGACTGTCATTCAAGAAACAGGTAGCCACAGGAGGGCTTTGTAGGTCATAAGGAGCAGGATGTAGGTCAAGAGGAGACCTTGGCGACAGAGTGGGAGATGCCACCCACTTCACTCTCTTCCCCATTCCAGGATCCCAGGCTGGGCCCCCATATTTGGACTTTTGTCACGGCTCCTTCCCTTTCCAGCCCCTCTCTCCAATGTTCTCCATTCCACTTCTCATGGAAATAAATCTTCGGCTTTCTCTGGCCTCCCTGCTCTGGGTATCCGGGACATGCGGCAACACCGGTGTCACAGGGCACCCGGATGATAGCCGGTTGTGTGTCTGTGTCTCTCACGGGACTGTGAACACCAAGATCAATGTCCCCTTCCCCTGCCCACCAACTCATGCAGATCCCCTACAGCAGGGCGAGTGTTTATTGAATGAATGTGTGATGGACCAACTCTGAGTCACTCTCTTCTCGACCAAGGACTCCCATGTGGTCTCTGCCCAGCATGACTGGGATCGGCATGGACATGGAGGAGTCAGGAGGCAGGTCCCCTGAGGGGGGCCGGTCCAGCAACACCTGATCTCTTCACTGCCCATCTTTAGGGAATGGAAAATACAGAGTGCCCCACTCAACTCCTTCTCAGCTTTGTACCCTCAGGGATGGTCCTCACCTGGCAGGGTATGGAGGAACTTAAATGAGATGCCCTTTATACATGCAGGGGCTTGCCATGATTCCATCTTAGGACATCTGTTCAAAGATTTGCTTCTTAACAGTCCAGAGGTCAGGGAGTGCTGGGACAGAGTGCGGAGAGTAGGAAGACATCAGGCAGAAGCAGCATGTGGGAGAAGAATGAGGACAGGGCTGAACAGGGCAGGAAGCCCGTGCTGTCCTCGTGTTGCAACCAGAGTTGGTGGTATGGCAGAAGGTCATTGGGTGAGACGGTTTGGGGTGGAGTGCTTTGCCCTGATTAGGAACATTCTTTAGAGACAAAGCCTTCTCTTTCTCTTTCTCTCTATCTTTCTTTCTTTGATAGAGAGAGAGAAAGAGACAGAGAGAAAGAGAGAGAGAGCGAGAGTACCAATGTGTTGGGTTGGGGAGGTGCAGAGGGAGAGGGCAAGAATCTCAAGCAGCGTCTGTGCTGAGTGCAGAGCTCCACTCTGGGGCTCTATCCCATGACTCTGAGAGCATGATCTCAGCTGAAATCAAGAGTTGGACACTTAACTGACTGAGCTACCCAGACGCCCCATTTTTTTCCTCAAGGCCCTTAAAAAAAAAAAAGAAAGAAAGAAAAGCCCAGTCTTGGGTGAAAGCAAAAAGAGAAGGCGATTCTAGCAAAGCAGAATAGAAAATAGAAAGAAGGAGGAGGAAGAGGGGGAGGGGAGAAGGGAGGGGAAGGGAAGAGGGCAGAGAAGGGCCAGTTAGCAGCAGGTACAAACAGAGCAGACTTGGGGAAAGGCGGTGAAGGGGAAAGAGGAGAAAGAAGGGGGGCCCTGGGAGTGTTCTGAACCCCCCTGCCTCCAGCTCGGACTCTGCCCCTTGTCCACCATGGTTTCTCCATCTGAGAAGGGAGACGTGGCCTGATCTGCCTCTCCTCAAGTGTGACAGTCACATGACCATGTGATACCAAAACAGGCACGTGTCACTTTCATTTAAGTATGTCTTATCAAGGCAACCCTCTATGATAAGGGGTGTTATATATTGATGGTACCGATAGAAGATTTTCCCAAAGTAAAAAATACAAATTAACAAAATACAGTAAAGTAGGTCATGGGACCAATAGTGTGAAAGAACATAGAACAAAAAACTATGACCATGACCCAGGTATAGCTGAAACCTGGGAACCCCAGCCAAGGTGTCGTCTGAGGGTCCCCTCCCCTTGAACGTGCACCCAGGCAGCAGAGGAGGGAGGAGGAGGCTGGAGACTAATCGAGTAGCTGGAAGGAGAGGAACAGGTGAGGAACGCAGAGCTGTGCCTGGCAGTGAGCAGGGAGCAGGGGTCCTGCCCTTGCGGCTGTCCTGTTTGCCTTTCCGGGGTGAGTCACCCCAAGACCAATGAGGTAGCATCAAACCCAAAGCTGTGTGATGCGGGCCAGGGGACAGTAGCCTAGGGGGTTGGGCTGTGAGCTTGGATAAGAAATGACTCCGAATACTCGAAGACATGTCCCAGGAAGGGAGAGGGGGCCCCGGTGGCCCTGAATAGTGCAAAAGTAGACAGTTGTAAGAACAGGATGGGGAGGTTCGGGCAGCAGGGCAGCGGAGAGCAGAGCTCTCAGCTCGCCTACGACGTTGCTAAGTGCTTTGGATCCCACTTGCCAGGAACACACACTTCATCCCCAAGGCAACGGGGCTTTAAAGGTCAGGTAAGGGCAGAGCTGGCATTTTGAACTGTGGTCTGTCTGAACTCAAGGTTCCTGCAGTGCCTCTCACCTGGGAGCTCAGCCTGGATCGTGGGGGCAGCAGGGCCTCCCATGCTTTGGACGTGCAGAGTTTAAAAGAGGTCAGATCTGTGGTCTAGTGACATGACTGGATCCACCAGTGAGTGTGGCAGAAAGGGACCAGGGAGGGGTGGGGGGGCGGCAGGGAGGCTGGCTGGAGGTTATCGAAGCTGCCCAGGGGAGGGATGATGAAGGACTGAGACAGGGGCCACAAGAGGTTAGTTTGGCTCCATTTTACCTGTTAGATCTGCCTGAAGTGCCTGGAGGAGAGGGAAATGCAGAATCTGGGGGGTGACCCCTGGTGCATCCCAGGGTGTGGGTGACGAGCATCTGCACGCTTCCTAAGACCCACTTCTTGGAAGTCAGCCCAGAACCCACCTTTTTAAGCCTCTCCCAGTAGCCTGGCCCTGTCAAGGGCCACCCTCTGGATCTGAATGTCACCTGCCAGGATGGTCACCTGCCTTACCAACGTCACTTGATTCCTCTGTGCCTTACCTTTCATGTCCTCATCTATAAAAGGGGAAATAACAATATTCACTTCATGGGTTATTATGAGGATTGAACATGATAATTCAGGTCAGGTGCTTAGCTCCCTGTCTGGCATTGATCAAGGGCCTACCAGAAAGGTGGCCATTCCTATTTTTATGACAACAACTTGTTTACAAGACAATGAGATGACTAAGCAATCCACGGGCTCTTCCGCAAGCTTTAATATATTATGTCATTTAATCTAATCTTTACACTATTGACCCTGGACAGTAGATATTATAATATGATTGTACAGATAGGTGAAGCAACTTGCTCTTGGTCATACAACCATTGACCCCATGTCTGGTTTGCAGTTGAAACCTGAGCTACCATATAGGGTGTTGAAAATATGGGAGTAGTGAGGGAGTGGAAGGCTAAGAAAGAAAATGGGCAAGCTGATCCTAAAATTCATACGGAAATTCGAGAAATTCAAGAATGGTCAGAATGATTTTGAAAAAGAAGAATAAAGTTACAAAGCTGACACTTCCCACTTTCACTTTCCCAGTAATTCCTACAGACTAAAGTAATCAAGATGGTTTGGGTATGGGCATAAGGATAGACAGACAGATCAATGGAGTTTAGAGTCCAGACAAACCCTCACACTTACAGTCAATTGATTTTTTTTTAAAGATTTTATTTACTTATTTGACAGAGAGAGAGAGATTGAGAGAGCGCAAGAAGAGGGAGTGGCAGGCGGAGGAAGTAGGCTCCCCGGTTAAACAGGAAGCCTGATGTGGAACTTGATCCCAGGACTCTGGGATCATGACCTGAGCAGAACGTAGACGCTTAACCCACCGAGCCGTCCATGTTCCCCCA